AGATAAATCTGTATTTTGTCACTGAATTGTATTTTATTTATAGATGAATCACAGTTGTTTGGTAATCCTCAATAAGATGTACATATTGTCTTGCCTTGGGTACAAAAATTAAAGTTGGTGTAAACAAAACATATCAAGTGTTGCTGGGTCCTAACGGCTCCCTTGGAGGAGGGGGTGAGAAGGAAGGAAGTCAACTACATAGACCCTGGGAGTCAGGTGAAATATGAAACAGCAGACTCATTTATTTAGCAATGGGTAGAAACTTACATACCCTCCTAGCACTCAGGCATTCTGATCCATTGACATTGGACAGTCATCCCTATTGGCTAGGTATGGTTAGAACTACTGACAGTGACTGTTGCTAGGCCTCAGGCAGTATAGTGTGATTGCCCCTTATTGGCTAGGCAAGATCAGGACCTTGTCTGACAATCAGCAATTGTCAGACTCCAGGTTGGTTCATCTCTGTCTGGTAGGCTTTAAGTTCCTACAGCCAAGTCTGTTTTGTTATTCTTAATTTGATCATTCAGTACCCTTTCCTTTGATCAATTACAATATAAGCATTTGGAGTGGTAAATAGTCATCTGTTCCATAATAATTTATATTTTATGGAGATTCAATAAAAAGTTACTGAGACAAATTGGTAAATGTATAACCCAAATGAGTAGAAATAAATGACAAACAAATATTCGAAAAGTTGAATTAATTAAGATGCATTAGTTGACATGTCAACAAGATGAGAGAAATTATGTGGTGGCCCCATGCCTAGATGAAGAGGTATGAGTTATTTATGGGAGATAAAATTAGTTTTCCACAGCAATGAGCTCTCTAATTGGTTATCTAAAACCAAGTAGTCATCCCTAAAATCATACACATATAAACACACTAAGTGGACTCAAGGGTTACATATATACATACATATATATATATATATATATATATAGTGTGTGTGTGTGTGTGTGTGTGTGTTTGTACAATAATGGTTTTTAAAAAGAGATGAAATGATTTTGAGAGGGAGAGGGAGGTACAAGTGGTGTTGTTGAAAGGAGAGGGGGAAATTATGTGTACTTACATTTCAATTAAAAGTAAAAATTTTTAATGAAATGCCAGAAAAAAATGTTTACAATATTTACAGATGAGAACAACAGTCATGTCCTATCCTGAAGACTACACTTCAGAGTAGTTTTTCATAGCCTCCAGCTCTTTTATAATCTTCCTTCATTTTCTTTCAGAATGTTCCCTAAGCATTGGTCTGGAAAATTCAATAAGGATCTCTCATTTAAGGCCAGGTCTTCTCCTATTAACACTTCAACCATTTATATGAATCTCCATGAGCTGCTACCCAATTGTAAACAGAAACTTCTCCGATCAATGTTGAGAGCAATGAGGTTTATAGATATAAACAAAAGCACTCAGAAGATAATTTTATATCATGGCCATTTATCCAAAGAACAATAGTAGGCTATATTTTAGGACTATGACCTCCCAAGACAGAATTATTTCTATGAAGATTACAATACCAGGCATCAAAATCCATTCCATAGAGCATGAATTTACATTAATGGTCTTACTCAGAGGCTAAAAGATGCATAGGTCAATTCCTGATGACAAAAAAAGGTTATTAGATGTAGCTAGGCTTGTAAATACATACCTATAATGTCAGCACTTCAGAGCCTGAGGTAAAAAGATCCAGAGTTAGAGAAACACCTGGACAACATAGTAAGATTTATGTTATGTGGGTTACATTGCAAAATGCAGTTTCAGTATTCCTTGTCAATATGCCTTGTAAACAAATTTATAAAGTTATAATACAATATTGCCATACTAAATCCAGAAATGCTATAAAGGATTGTACATCATAGCCAAGATGGATTTATCCCAAAACTGAAAATTCTATTTACTGTTAAGAATACTATTAAGAGCCAGGCGTTGGTGGTGCATGCCTTTATTCCCAGCACTCAGGAGGCAGATGTAGGCAGATCTCTATGAGTTTGAGGCCAGCCTGGTCTCCAGAGCGAGTGCCAGGGTAGGCTCCAAAGCTACACAGAGAAACCCTGTCTCGAAAAATCAAAAAAAAAGAATATTATTAAGATTTAAAATAACATAGTCATATATCAAGAAAAAATAAAGCATAATAACTGGGGAGATCTTTAACTCATAAAACGGTTTGTTAATAATCTACAGAAAACATTTTAATTTTCTGTGAGAAACAGCATTGTTATTGAAGGATATGTTAAATATATTGTCTCTAGGGGCAATAGTATAGAAATGTCACTGCTGACACATTTTTAATTAAAATATAATTATATTACTTCTTCCTTGTCTTTCCTCCCTTCTCACTTAATGCCCTCTTGTCCCCTTCCCATTTGAGTCTTTAATTGTTATTTTTACAAAAAACCACACAAACATATTATTATGTCTATTATCATTTCATTGACTAGTTTATCAATGAATGCAAATTAATCTCTGTATACAATTATCACACAAAATTTCAGGAAATATACCAAAGTGTTAAGTAAATCTTAAGTGAATAAGAGAAACAGAAGCAAAGGATTTGTCATACTTTCTCAATTCAAGGAAAGGAAAGTGTTGGCAATACTCAAAATTTTTATATAATCCCATTCATGCCATTTACTTTTTTATTGTCCTTCAGACACTGAAAAAGTTTCTGTGATCTCTCTCTGGAATTGATTGTGCTTCCATGTTTTCAGGAAACCACTTTCATTTGCTCTGGTTTATCCTTCCAAAGGTTTTACCTACAAAATCCTTCTGGGACCATGAGTGATGTGTAACTCACACTGTACTGCAGACCCTCATCTTGTAACTCTTAGCACTCATTATACCACAAACTCTAGTGTCAGGCATATTTCCTGACATGTAAAGCCTGTGTTGTCCTTTAGGTGAACAGTGTGTGAAGATTCTGAGTGCAAATAAGGTCTAGGGAATATCACTACATTCTTTTTTCTAGATACACTAAAAAGCTCTCATTTCTCCTAGAATCAAAAGATATCAAGAAGTATTTTCAACATGTGAGATTAAATTAAAAGCTCCAATACAGTATATCTAACATACAATACAGTATATCAGAAGTTGTAAATATATGAAGGTTAAAGAAAATACCGTAGAACATTTATTTTCCTGAGTGAATATAAAACTATCATGAGGAAGTCTTGGACTGGGAAGAGAGATGGAAAGGGGATATCCCAATTTTCTGCTTCCCAGACACCATTGGGGGTAATGAGTATCAATATGATAGCATTCTCTAGCTGGAGTGGCATGGTGGTTGATCCAGACTTTGCAAATTACACTGGTAGATGACATTTGTGGCACTCATGTGGTACATTATGTGGCACTCATGCCCCTACAAACATTGTGACCTTCTTTAAGGAAAGATTCTGATTTAAACAGGAACTCCTATTTTACAACCTAAAGTAAACCACTCTAATCCAAAAGGAAAGAAATGGCATGGCTGAAGAGGAGATAAGGAAATTGGAAAAATAACTGTACCCTTACTGAGATATGTACTTTCAAACCTTTTTTAAAGGCTTCACACTTAGACAGCTTGCTCACAGGGTTCTATTGCAGTGCTGTTTTGTCTTCTGCTTTCTACCTCAGAAAGCAAGAAGATTACTAGAGAAAAAGATAACCACCGTGGCCTTTATGTCTGGGAACCTAGGGTTAGAGGAAACACATCTAGGATACCTTCCCCCAAAATGTAGTGAGAACAAGCAAAAATTAATAATACTGAGATGATTTAGTAATGTGTTGTTATTGTCTTGGTTTTGCTTGTTAGATTTTGGGAACATTTGGGGTCCCCAGATACTTGCCCAGTTCAGTTTGGATTTTGCAGGCATTTTGAGGATTTCTTCCTGAGATGTTAGCACCTGACAGTTTCAAATATATTTGAGAATCCCAGTTACTTTACTCATTGCCTACATTGTTTTCTGATACCGTCTCTTTCTGTCACCCTGCTCCTCAAGGCTGCTGGCTTCAGAAGCTAGCCTACTCAGTTAGTTGGGGAAAACATTTTCCCCTCTCAAACTCCATTATTGCCTTTTGTGTTGGATTTTGAACTTGATAGTGATATTGATATATAAGATTGAGAATGTAGAAAAGGCACTATATCCCCTGGCATTGCAAACAATATAACTGCTTTAACTTATAAATCAAATTTAAATATTAATTATAGATGTAAAGTGTTCTGTATACCACCAACAGAGTTTGAGTGATTAAGAAAATGCAAAGCTTTTCAATTCATAAATTGTTACCTTATTAAATGAAAATTTCAGAATAAATAATGATATATTAGTCAAGGTTAAAATAGTATTTTATTAACATGGATTTCAAATTAATCATCTTATTTCGGTCTGTATTTTTGAATTCTGCTTTCTGTTTTTCTTCTGAGGCAGAGAAAGAAGTTGAATGCTTACAATGAGTCCCTCTTTCTTTATTTGTGAGGAAACAGAGTCTGAGCTCCTGTGGAAACTGAAGTTTTCTGGAAAAACAGGCCTGTCCCTGCATGTTTTTTAAGTCTTCAGTGGTTTAAAAGACTCTCGAGCACAACTTTTTTTAAAACTTCATAGTTGTTGAATCAGACTTTTGTAATTTTTGTACTTCAGAACTTGAGTTGGTACAACCAAATTCCCTAACCTTGAAAAAGGCCAGAGATGCAAAAGAGTGGGATTGGAATCTTTCTTGATTTGAATATCAACAAATGTGAGCTGTCCTTGCCTTCTAACTCATCTTCTGAATATTTCAGCCCATTACAAACATATAAAAATGGTAGCTAGGACACACCAGAGAACTGCAGAAAAATATTTAACAAGAATATGTATAAATTAAATGCCAAATGGGAGATGATTGTTTTGCCTTAAAATTAGAGATTGGAGAAGAAGCAGGATAAAAAGGAGAAAGAATTTAGCTGCACATTGGACCAGACGCCAGGCATTTAATCAGCCCAGGAGGAGCAGTGCAATTAGACTTTGAGTTTTCTCTGTTTGAAGATGGGACCTGTCCTGCACAGAATCTCCATCACTCTAGTAATGGCACAGTGCATTTTAGGGAATTTGAGCAATGGATTGATAGTGCTGAAAAACTGCATTGACTGGGTCAACAAAAGAGAGCTTTCCCCAATTGACCAAATCCTCATTCTCTTGGCAACTTCCAGAATTACTCACATCTGGGAAATAATCTTTATTTGGGTGAAAACTCTATCAATTTCATTTATGACCAGAGAAGAATTAAAAATAATTATGTTCTGTTGTATACTATCTAGCCACTTCAGTCTCTGGCTCGCCACAGCCCTCAGCATCTTTTATTTACTCAGAATAGCTAACTTCTCCTGGAAGATCTTTCTCTACTTGAAATGGAGACTTAAAAAACTGATTGTGGGGGTGCTGCTGGGAAGCTTGCCCTTCTTGCTTGCAAATCTGGTGAAAACAAGCATCACTTTTGAAGAGAGGATCCATCAATATGGAGGAAACACAACTGTGAGTTTCATGGAGACAGAGTTAAGGCTGTTTTCAGAGCTGACCTTATACAACATGACTTTGTTCTCTGTGACACCATTTTCATTGGCCTTGATCTCATTTCTCCTGCTAATCTTCTCTTTGTGGAAACATCTGCAGAAGATGCAGCTCAATTCCAGAGGACATAGAGACCCCAGTACCAAGGCACACACAAATGCCATGAAAATTATGGTCTCCTTCCTCCTTCTCTATGCCACTTACTTTCTGTCCCTCCTGATAGCGTGGGTTGCTGAGAAATATCATAGTGAACTGGTATACATTATGTGTTTGATAACTGGACTCATGTATCCTTCGACTCACTCATTAGTTCTGATTCTAGGAAACTCTAAATTAAAGCAGACTTCTCTTTTGCTACTGAAGCATCTGGGATGCAGCCTGAAAGGACAGAATATCCCAACTACATGAGGCATCCAGACAACGTACTTTGTTGTAAATAACAAACAAATCTACGAGGAGGTAGTTGAAGAACTTTTTTGTCATAAACACTTTATTATTAGCCAGTCTATATCATTGATGAAGGCTCAGACAACATTGTTATTTTAATGCTTAATTTCAATTAAATCAAAGCAGAAGTGATAGTATGCTACTTTAATCTCAGAACTCTTTTAATCCCAGCACTCAGGAGGAAGCTTACTAAGGGCCCTTTGGAGATTCTATTCCAAGGTGGTCACCAGAGTGTGCAAAAAAGTCCAAGAATGCAGTGAGGGCTAGACTTTTCTATCTGAGGGTAAATAGGGAAACATGTGCATTCTGATGGTATCTTAAGAAAAAAGGAACAAGCACATGTTTTCCTGATGGTAACATTCTATTTTACTTTATATTAAATAATCTCCCTTTCTTCACAAAATATCTGTAGATTTACATACAGTTACATTTCTCTATTTACATACATCTATCTCCCTCCTGCACAGCCATACATCTTTCTACAGTTGCATCTCTTTTCACACAGTTGTGTTCTCTACCCAGCCCACAGACATACATGCTTCCCTCACTCTTCCTCTCTCACCTTCTCTCTCTGCTAGTTTAGCTACACCCTTCCCTAAGCATACACTCACACTCACACCTACACTCTCTCCTTTGCCCAGCTGTCTACCTAGATCTACATGCTTCTTCATTGCTCTACACAGCATCTTCTCTCTAATTAGCTCTGCATACCTCTCCTGTATAGCCTTACACAGCCTTCATCACTCGGCATTGCCTCCTTGTGTCACCAAACTCTGCACAATTATATGTTACATTTTTGGGGGGCCCCAACTCATTTTCTTAACACAAGATAGGTCACACAGTTTTTCTCAGGCTAGGGATGTCACATTGACTGGCCAGTACAATTTGGCTATACACATAGCTCTGAGATGGTGAGGGTTACCAGACATAAAATAGCTGGACCTTGAATCATAACGAGTACATGAAAATAGTCTATTACTGCACGAGGTTTATGGCTACTAGAGTTGCCTCAAGCCTGACCTCGAGTCAGCAAGAAACACCTGGGAAAATGACCTCATGCATTTGTCACTAGGGGCAACCAGATATTTGCCTCTAGGGCACCCAGTTTGCTTTAAATTTGTTCTGAAGTAGAAAATTAGCTATATTTGTGACTGAGGATACTATTACTTTCCTATGTTGGCCTGAGTAATGTAAAATATCCTGGTATTATTTCTATTCATCAAAGTTACACAGTTAAGCAGAAATCATCTTCCTGATTAGCCACAGCTATATATGTGCCCAACATATGGAATATTTTCATGAGGTAAACACACAAGCAGTGAAAACACACCTGGAGCTGTTATTAGGGAAGAAATGCAATAGCACACGAAAGAAATTACAGACATAAGCAACTGGTCATTTCCAGTGACTGATCCCATGGCTTTTCCTGGTGGGGCTCCCCATCAGAGAGTCATTCATCTGGTAGGTTGACCTACTGAATACTAGTTGTCACCTGCTATATACTCTGATGATCTCTAGTAAAGCCATTGCTACCAACAGTTATAAGAAAAGGTAGATTTCTTTGAGTTCAAGACCAGTCTACAACGCAGTTTTCAGGAAAAGAGCTACATAAAGAGACTGTCTAAAACATGATATGTACTCACTCATATGTGGATTTTAGACATAAAGGATTACCAGCCTACAATCCACACTGCCACAGAAGCTAGTAAACAAGGAGGACCCTAAAAAAGATATACACGGTCCCCTGGAGAATGGGACAGGGACAAGATCTCCTGAGCAAATTGGGAGCATGGGAGGAGGGGAGAGGGAACTAGGAGAATGAGAAGGGGAGAAGAGGATGGTGAGGAAGACATGATGGGACAGGGAGTTTGGATTGGAGAAAGAACAGAAGAGAGCAAGATAAGAGATAATATAATAGAGGGAGACATTACAGGTTTAGAGAGAAATCAGGCACAGGGAAATGGCTGGAGACCTACAAAGATGACACCAACTAACAATCTAAGCAACAGAGGAGAGGCTACCTTAAATGCCCTCCCCTGATAATGAGATTGATGACTAATTCATATGCCATCATATAGCCTTCATCCAGCAGCTGGTGGAAGTAGAAGCCAACACCCACAGCTAAACCTTGAACTGAACTGAAATCCAGTTGCAGAGAAGGAGGACTGATGAGCAAAGAGGTCCCGACCAGGCTGGTGGAACTCACAGAAATAACTGACCTGAACAAGGGAGAGTTCTTGGTTCCCAGACTAATAGCTGGGAAACCAGCATGGGACTGATCCAGACTCCCTGAATGTGGGTGTTAGTGAGATGAACTGAAATCCAGTTGCAGAGAAGGAGGACTGATGAGCAAAGTGGTCCCGACCAGGCTGGTGGAACCCACAGAAATAACTGACCTGAACAAGGGAGAGTTCTTGGTTCCCAGACTAATAGCTGGGAAACCAGCATGGGACTGATCCAGACTCCCTGAATGTGGGTGTTAGTGAGACCTCAGAAACCTATGGGGCCCCTTGTAGTGGATCAGTACTTATCCCTAGCATAGGAATGGACTTTGGGAGCTCATCCACATGAAGCAATACTCCCTGAGCCTAGACACAAGGGGGTGGACTTAGGCACTATCCCAAAGGATATGACAGACTCTGAAGACCTCCTAAGGAAGGCCTCACTCTCCCTGGGGAGCAGAAAGGGTATGGTATAAGTAGGGTGTTAGTTGGGGGGGGGGCAGGGGAGGAGGTAAGGGAGAGGGACCTGGGATTGACATGTAAATTAATCTTCTTTCCAATTAAAATAAAAAATAGCCAAAACACACACACACACACACACACACACACACACACACACCAAAACAAACAAACAAAAAAAGCAAAACAACAACAACAAAAAACAAAACATGACTTCTCTGTGGCTTTGGAGGCTGTCCTGGAACTACCTCTTGTAGACCAGGCTGGTTTCAAACTCACAGAGATCCTCCAGCCTCTGCCTCCTGAGTTCTGGGATTAAAGGCATGAAGCACCACTGCCAGGCAACAAGTTCAAATTTTGCAAGATCTTCCTCCATGAAATTTGAGTAAGTAATGCTGCAGAATTATTTGCATCATATTTGAGAAATAATTGGCCAAGAGTCACTGGAAGTACATTCAAGTCAGAACAGGCTTCCTTTATAATCATCCTGCTTAGAGACTAATATACTCTTTTAAAAAGTGATTGGTAATGGTAGGAAAATAAATTAGCTTGATTGAAGTGCTGGGAAGCAGTTATCTGCTTACAAAACTACATTATGTAATCTTGATTTTGGTTAATAAAAGTGTATCTTATTTTAAAGCATACAACCCATCCAGCAAGTATATAGGCTGTGATATTATATATGCTATATTCAAAATAGACCAATTTGCTGGGTGTTGGTGGCGCACGTCTTTAATCCCAGCACTTGAGAGGCAGAGGCAGGCAGATCTCTGTGAGTTCGAGGCCAGCTTGATCTCCAGAGCAAGTGCCAGGATAGGCTCCAAAGCTACACAGAGAAACCCAAAAAAAAAAAAAAAAAAAAAAAAAAAAAAAAAAAAAAAAAGAGTTTTCTTATTTACCTGTTTTGCTTACTTTTCCTGTTGCAGTAACAAACTATCCTAACTGAAGAAACTTTAGAAAGAAAGTTTTATTTTAGCCAGAAGTTCGCGGGCATCTTATTTCTTTATTCTTGCTTCATGAAGATTATCATAGTTTTTTAAAAGTATATATACACTTTTTTCTTAAATAAAAACAGTAAATATTTATGATTAATACTTTCATGTTATTGCCAATTTGAAACCTTTTTGAGGAAATCATTGATCAATATCCTCACCATTTAGAAATAGCTACAATTATTTATATGATATTTGTGGACATCAAATAAGCTAGCTGTAAGTGACCAATTTTATATTACACATTGGGGGACATACTTGATGTAATTATTTTATTAAATCATGAAGCAGTGTTTAGTTGAATTGAGGGCCTTGAGTGCAGTTATTTAGAAATGAAACAGGGAAGCTTTGATTTGCTGCTTTTACTGATAGTTATAGTATATAAAATGATTTAAAATTATGGAAGTACTGTATTAAAGTTAAAAGAATGGTAGGTTGTCTGCAAATATGGTTGTTAGCTTGGTGTTTTTGTAGTGGGAGTGGGGGTATCTGAGCCTTTTGCCATATGTTGGAATTCTTTTCCTCCTGCTGGGATGATTCCCCCAGACCTGATATAAGGTTTGTGCCTAGTCTTATTGTAACTTGCTATGCTGTGTTCAATTGATATCCCTGGGAGGCCTGTTCTTTTCTGAAGGGAAACAGAGGAATACTGAATATGGGGGAGAGGGGAGGTGTGCAGGTGTTACGGAGAGGATCAGAGGGAAAGCAAACTGTTCAGGATATACTATATGAGAGGAATAATAAATAAAAAAACTTACAAACCCATACCTACATGTTACTTCCAACATTTATAGTAGATATTTGTTTTTCACAGTTGATTTCAACTTGTTGGCTGCTTTCAACAAATGAAAAAAGACTTATATAATTAACTACTATTTAAAACAATGGCCTTTCAATTTAAGTATGTTGTGAATCTGCATAAATGCATAATTTACATCAAGCATTTTAAAATGAACAATATTAGCATATAATAAATATAGCAAAATAAAATTTTTCTGATTATATTGCTGTTGTTGTTCCTGGGTGGTACTGCAATGTTATTCCAGGATTGTAATGGATAGTACATTGAAAATAAGTCACTTTACCTTCTGATGAACTATGAATGGTTTCTAATCATTGCCCATTATAAATAAAATTCATTGGTATTCACTATCCTTGACCGGAAGTTTTTCAGGTCTGAACTTTATTTTAGTTTACTTAAGTGCATATGAAGGAACTGACTATGCTGGCAATTTTCTTCCTGAATTGTCAGTCTTTAAGAAGTACATTGTGCTCATTTGATTCCTTT